AGCTAGAAGTCCCGATCTGAATCCGATCGAACACCTCTAGGACCCGATGGGCAGGCGTCTTAGAGCACTTTCTCGGCCAAGAGCAGCTTGGGCAAAAATGGCATGAAATTTGGGAAGACATTGACCAGAACGAAATTCGAGCTTTAATCCGTAGTATGGGTCATCGCTGTGAGGCAAGAGGAGGAAGAGGCCGAAATACTGAATTTTAGGTGTTGTTTAAATCATGCCAAGTTTTGGCATAATAGATTTTTCTTTATTTTTGTTCTTAATTTCAAGTGTGGCTTAAATTAACACGTTTGAATTTATTTTAATTCTAACGAAATTTTTCAAAGTGATGAGTTACGCTTTTTCGCCAGTATATTTTGAGAATTCCCCCTTAAATACAAACAAAATCAGAGGGATTAAACTCAACACACTATCAATTTATGCGTTACCCAATAAAGGCAGAGAATTAACCCTGGTAAATCAAAAAAACAATTATATATTTTTGGGGATTAGCAAAAACTAAGAGAAGGTAAAAGAGCTGGAACAGTTACAAATCCAGAAAATAAAATAACAGTAATCAAATCATGTAACTCAAGCTTTTATGGCCAGGCAAACGGAGATTAGCTGGTCTCCAATTTCCGGATTTTGAAAGCTGACAAGTTTCGTCACGTACAGTTTTGTGAGTACGTGAGATTGACAAGCAAGAGTTCATTCATTTTTACAATAAAATTTGATCTAGCGATAAAACTCGTTATAGTTGTAATGTAGGAGTGAACACACACCACTGCCACTACTGCGCTCAAGAAAACTTGCATTGAATTAGAACTACTAATTTCTAGAGAATTTTTTCTTTAAACTTTTAAAGTGGAATAATCGATGACTTTATAAATTGGACCCCACTTTTTTGCTAGCAATTGGAACTGGTGAAACGTATCGTACCTTTGTTGAAAATGAATTGTCAGTTTTCCTAGAGAACGTACTCATTGCTCTTCGACAAAAATTTTTGTTTTAACAAAATAGGGCTCCCCCACATTTTCACAGAAGAGTTCCTGATTACTTGGACGAAAATTATGAAACTGTACAAATTAGGCAATAGGCATCCAGTATTAGATAATAGTTATTTATTATACAAGCGGATGAAGTGAAAGTGTGTGAACAGAAAGTGTAAGTGCACAATTCATAGCCTTGGAGAACACAACTCTTCCAATTTTGTTGTAACAAAATCAAATCGGAATCATTGCCATCTCGCAAATTTAATTGATTTAAACCGACAATACTCAGAGAGTCATCCAAGAGAAAAGCAATTGAAGATTTGGCCAACAAACTAGCTAAACTTATTGCTAAAAGTCACCAAAAATTGGATTCATCGAATACGATCCTGCAAACAAAGCCGAGGTGGACATTTGAATAATGTGTTGTTCAAGACATAATTGTCATAAATTGTACATTAAAATAAAAAAAAGTTTAACTTTTATTTCGAAACTTTTTGTATTTTATTTAATTTTAAAAACATATCGTTCTTATTGGAAAACCCTTTACCTCAAATTTTTTAACACCTAGAAAATCAAAACGACATTTTCGACTAATAAAAATTAAATTAGAAAATCAAAATAAAAAAATAAAACTGTTGCAACAGTATGCGAAGACTACCGTTAAAATGTTAATGTTAAGTTACAAAGCAGAAATATACACCAGCATTAAGATCTTTTTCTGGGGGCAGGGATTGTGCTCAATTTTCGAAACAAGTATGATGGGTTAATGAGGGTCGCTAATCCTCAAGGTGAACTGCGTTTAGTACCATCATAACGGGGTATCCATCCATGGGTTGGGGATTAAGTGATTAGAGAGTTTTTGCAAGTCGTTTAGTTTAATGTTAACCTTAACGACAACGTCATTTAATTGTCGTGTGTACCTCTTTCAAGGACAAAAGGCGTATTCCGTCAATTCAAAGACGTTTACGTAAACGTCTTATTTTTTGATTTCTTAGCAACGGTCATTTGTCGTAATACTTTAAACTACGGATACCTAAAGACTAGGATACGACACGATGTAAAACAAAACGTCCCCATTCTCGATAGTTCCGTTAGCGAAGCCAGATAGCGCAGTTGTTCCTTTCCCGATCAAGTTTTAATTAAAAAAATGGCTGTATTTACATAAGGGTGAGCAAAACGCAAATAAAAAAATAAAGGCAGATCGAACATTAAATTCTCCATAATAAGAGATAAAGGTAATGCAAAAATTTTATTGAAAACTATATTTAAAGAAATTTCAAACATTTAGCAATTTGCGCCCCGTCTCATATTTTTAAAAATGTTACGAATACGGTTAAAGGTACAAGAAAAATATAAAAAAGAAAGTTGTAGAGAATGAAATTTACAAGAAAAGGGTCCGCGAGATGATACCTCTATCTTCAATGGTTTAGGTCCTAAAGACGTTCAAAGACGCTCAAGCGAAGAATACGGCTCATTTTTACCGGTGGTCAAGAGACAGAAAATTAATTTAAACCTAAACGGTTGAAGATAGAGATATGGTCTTGCGGACTTTTTTGTAGGAAATTTAATTCTCTACAATTATGTCTCCTACACTTTTTTTGTATCTTCAACCATATTCGCAGCGTTTTCAAAAATATCGAAAAAAGTATTAAAAATAAATTATAAACAACTATCAGTTAGCGTTACGCCCAATATTTTTAAGAACGCTTCGAATATGGTTAAAGATACAAAGAAGTGTAAAAAACGAAATTGTAGAGAATAACATTTTCTACAAAAAAGTCCGCGACACCATATTTCTATCTTCAACGGACAGAAAACCCATAAGATGGTTAATTTCTACATATTTACTGTTATTATTAAAGAAATGATTTTAGAAACATGTAAAATGAAAAGTGCAACCTATGGTGTTTACCCTCTACAAGAACGTCATAATGTGGAGTATTTATCTTAAATTCTAGAAGAGGCATGTCAAGAGTTTGGCATAAGCAAAGAAAAAATAGTAACTATTGTTACTGATAATGGTGCCAATATTGTAAAAGAATGCTGTAATACTTTTGGAAAAGCAAAACATCTTCCATGTTTCGCTCATACATTGAATTTGGTCAGAGAAAAAGCTTTGGAAAATTGCCCCGATTGCCCCACTTGTTCACTGCATGGAGGAAAAGCTGAAGTCATTTATCCCTACTAACCAGGAAACAATCATGTTTAAGGAAAAACTCACCTCCGAAATATTGAACCGTTTTGGTCAAATAGAAAATGTGACCTGTTGGTCACAGCATGTTCCTCTTTACCCAAGGTACAAAAAATTACACTTTAAGGATCCATTGGCAGTAGCTCGTGTCGCCAACGCCTGTACCACCGCCTGTACAAAAGGATGACCTATGGGATCATCATAGAAAACTTATGTTACAAGTGACGAACAATAATGAGGGTGAAGATAATTATACGTTAATCAGTGCTGAAATTAGCCAGTACCGTAATGCTCCACTATATAACTTAAAAGAAGACCCGTTTTTAATTTGGGATAAACTTAAGTTAGTTTACCCAAGATTACATGTATTGGCAAAAAGGTTTCTTCAGATAATGGTGACTAGTGTACCTTCGGAACCATCAGCGTTGTGCAGTCCTCAGTTTAAATTAAAATATCTTTGAAACGGTCCATTTTAGGGGTATTAAAGGTTATGCGTTTTTTATTCGAAATTGATTACTCTATCGATTTGGGCAATAAGAAATTGGTGTTAATATCGACTGACCTTAGCGCAGTTCACCTAGGGATTAACTCAACCCAGGTAAGAAAATTTTTCTGAGCGCAGTCCACTGTAGGGATTAAAATGCGGAGCTAGAAGTGAGCGCAGTTCACCAGCACCCTTTTGCTCTTACGCTTAACCGAAAACACACATCTCTGTACGGCAAACTTTTAATCGTTCTTTATTGCATCTCAACACTATCAAAGTAGTAGCAGTCAGTAAATAGATCCCTAGGGTAAGCTAAAGAAGCGTTAAATGCTTTAAAGCAATTATTGATTACAATAAAGCAAAGAAGGGGGTTGACTTCAGTGACCAAATGTCATCCTATCATTCAGTACTACGAAAAAGTTTAAAGTGGTATCGAAAATTAGCTTTTGAAATGTTTTTTGGAGTTAGTATTGTCAACTCCTGGATCATTTATAACAAAACAAGTTCATCAAAGTTGTCAATCACAGAATTTCGTAGACGATTGGCACAAGAATTGGTCACCACACCAAAAAAGCATGAAGAAAATTTAAAAAGAGTTGTACGCACTTTTATTAAGCCAACCGAATCAGGAAAGAAAAGAAGGAGGCAGTGCCAAGGATGTTACAATGAATTACGATTATCTCATTCTAGCAGAAAAGCTAGCAATCTAGTGACAAAAGTCACTAGTTATTGCAGTGACTGCCCTGAACAACCTGGAATGTGTTTAAGTTGCTTCAACAAAAATCATAAGAAATAGTTTCATTTGTTTAAATAAAAAAAAATATCTACCTAATGTTAATGCATGTAGTTAATGAATTATAGTTTAATTTTTTATGTCAACATTTTTAGCAATAAATTTAAGTTTTGTGTTGATTTTGATTAATCATTGTGAATAATATAAACACCAATTCAACCTAAAACTTTAAGAGGGTAATATCGCAAATAAACTGGAATACACAGATACGACTGAAAAGATAAGTACTACTGTATATATAAAAAGAAAATTACCAATCATATTTGATATAAATGTAACAGTTTTAGTGTGAAAAATTAAAATGTTTGTACATGCATGCCGGTCCCCGGAGACCGGTAACGCATATGGACGGGGTTTTCTAAATCATCTTACGCAGTCAACGTGTTAATATTCTTTGACAAAGAATGAACATTAATTTATTAACATACATATTTTAAAACTGAATGAAATTTGTAATTTGTATWACTTTTTAATGTAAACATTCATAAATCTCACATAATGATTTTTTTTAGGTATTGGTTCAACAATACTACAATACGGAATGGCAGAGTTTACTATCGTCGTCGGCGTCTAAGTGGTCGAACAATTCACATTTGTGGAACCGTACAATCCATACTTGCTTCTCAAGTATCGGAAGCACATCAACCCTACAGGTACCGTAAAATATTTGTATAAATATTTTTTTAAGGGTCCCGATCAAGGCGTATTTCGCATTGTCGAAAATCGAAACGCTGAAAACGATGGGGAGCAACTTGAAATGTGCTATGACGAAATTCGGTCGTACCTAAATGGCAGGTACATGACAAAACCCGAAGCGTCGATCGAACACTCAAAGATATTTGTCAAAATGATCGACCTTTTGCAGGAAAAGGCGTCATTCTCGGAAGAGATTTCAAGCAATGTCTTCCTGTCGTTCCAGACGGCGATCGAGCCACCATCATTGCACATTGCATCAAATCGAGCATTCTTTGGCGTCTGTTTGAAAACATTCAGTTGAACGTCAACATGACTCAACTCGCATGTCAATTTCGATAACGTAATTTTTGAAAATGATCCACCTCAATTTGAACGAATTGATTGATCGAGTTTTTGGCCATCAACCATTTCAAGCTGAAAACATTCCGATCAACACAGCAATTCCGACTCCGTTCAATGCAGATTGTCACCGCATCAACGCATCGATTTTGGAAAGAATCGAAGGTGCGGTACGAACGTATCAAAGTGTTGACACTGTCATCACTGACTATGAAGCGGAGGCTGCAAATTATCCTGAAGAATTTTTTAATTCTCTCACGCCTCCATCGTTTCCACAGCACGAACTCACACTCAAAGTGGGAACAATCGTCATGCTGTTGCGAAATCTCAACGTCAAAGTCAATCTTTGCAATGGCACACGTCTCATAGTTCGAGATTTGGGCCAATATCACATCGAAGCCGAAATCATCAATTTCGATGCTCGATTGTCGGATAAGAGGATGTTACTGCCACAAATTGATTTTGTTTCAGGCAATAGTCCTCTTCCTTTCGTCATGCGAAGAAGGCAGTTTCCACTTCGACTGTCCTACTGTATGACAATCAACAAATCACAAGGTTCATAATAAAAACCGATGAAAAAAAAATTAATACTTAACAGTTACTTTTATTTGTAACAGATATTAATGACTATTTATAAAAAAAAAAAACATGTTTTCAATAATAAAAATAAATAAAAAAGAAAATATTTTTATTTCTTTAAGGTTGGCAATACGATGTTTTAAAAAAGCCTTGATTAAGATTTTTAAAATTTAGGCATTTCTTTAAGAAATTTTTAATGTTTTTTGCAAGTCTAGAATTTTTTTAATCCAGTACATCTCACACTTTTTTAGTCTCCCCAACCGACTTTTGTAGCACGATGTTTTGAAACCTCTGTAATAAGATTTCTTAATTAAAATTAATTTAAAACATTTTTAAATGTTTTTTTGCAAGGCTAGAAATTTTTTAATCCAGTCATCTGAAACTTTCTTAGTCTCCCCAAATGTCTTTTGTAGCACGATGTTTTGAAACATCTCAATTGGCATTTGTACTACTAAATTTAAACATTCCCTATGAATTTTTCTTCTTTTGAAAATCAAAATCAGGGGGCCTACCACCGACTTCGATGAGTTTTCTCACCGGTGACAAAACTCACGTGCATTTTGTCACTCATTTTTAAAAAACGCTACTATTGACATTGCGTGAAATGAGAAATCTCACCGATGAGTTTTATTACCGGTTAGATATTGCAACGTTGCACTATCGCGCTCATTGCTTACCAACATAGGTTTTGACGTTTGACAACACACAATACTATGAAGGTGACGGAGGAGCAAAAAGAAATTCTGGTCGAGTTTTTGCGGACTCGGCCAGAATTAATTTCCGGAAAATTTTCCGCAAGCTTCGCCAAAAAAAAATGGTGAAGCTTTGTGGAAGGAAATTGGGGAAACCCTTAATAGCAAGCACCATCGGACCACAGAAAGAGTGGAAAGCGTGGAGAAAGGTAATTTTTCATATTCGTTACTTTAGATATACAACGTGTTATGTGGCATATAACTAAATATACAAATTTGACAGCTACCAAACATAATCTCAAAAAATTACTGAAGCAGAGATAACGTCTGCACGAAATAATAGCTGGCAACATCAGCTACCAATAAGGCATTGTTTTTAGATATTGTTAAAACAAAATTGGATGATCCGGCATATAACTTAGTAAGATATAATGAGTACGATAACTTGGACTCACTAAAAAATGATTTGGAAGAGCATTATTCAGAAAAGAGAACTTTAACTGAAATTCAAATGAAAGTCTTAACCTGTACTCAAAAGCGAGACGACATTAAGACGTTCCTACAAAAAATTCGAAAATTGGAACACGACCTAAATAATCTCATGTGTAACGGTATTGAAGGCGAAAATGCAATGGCGACAGTTTTATACATTAATAAAAAGTCCGCATTGAAGGCATTTGTCGATAGTTTAAATGACCCGGTAAGAATAATTGTAAAAGCGACTAAGCCTACACAATTACGCGACGCGATTCAAACCGCGGTGGAGGAAGAACGTTCCACAATGGTGCACCACCAAGACACCGCACACAGTAGTCCTCAACACGAAATAGGTTGACTGAAAATGTCAACCAAAAGTCTCTATAAATTTGAGTTTAGAACACATTCACTGTTCTTACCCATATTTTATCAAAACCGTAGCTGATCGGAAACTGTTGTTTTTCATTACTTTTTTTTAATTGTCCTAAATTTTAATTAATTTTTTGTATTATTTGTCACAATGTACCCTATTACTTGCGTTTTTTTTTATATGCTCGTAATATGCTATATGCTATTATTTTTTAAAAGTTAAAAAACAAAAAAAAATACATTTAATTCGATAAAAATTCAATAACTAATTTTTTTGGAAAAAACAAAAATTGAGCCCCTGCATATAACACATAACTATTATTAAAAAAAAAAATTAAGCAAAAATTACAGTTAGTTTCCGAGATATTTTAGATCGAGTTTACAATGTAATTCCCATAAGAAGAATACGGGTGGAATCCCTTTAAGAAAGCGGTATTAGCTGACCTTGAAAAACGCTTCGGAAAAGTTGAAAGTGTTTCTGCTCTCTTGGATCCAAGGTATGAAATACTCAAAAATTTATTTAAAAAAAATAATGTGTTTTTTTTTATTTAACCGTATGTACTTTCAAAATCCATTAGCAGTGTCTGAAGCTTTAAGAAAAATACAGAGAATGATAGATGATGAAACATCGAGACAAATAAATCAAAATGAGACGACAAGAGTCCTTGAAAAACAAGATCAAGTCAAAGGCTCGATTTGGATTTTCCATGAACATCTTTTAAACAAGTAGAAACAAAATGACTTAGACAACTTTAAGAATTCAGAGTTAATTAATAATTTGCAACAAAATCCAGTTAGTTTGCAACATAAATTTGACCCGATACAGTTTTGGGAAAATTCAAAAACAATTTACCCAATTTTATCTAAAATCGCCCTTCGACACCTGTCAATTGTAGCAACGTCAGCCTCGTCAGAACGAATGTTTTCTGTTTTCTAGAGGGGAAAACATTATGAACCCTTCACAAAACCGCCTCTCAGCCAGTAGGCTAGGGCGTTTGCTTTTTTTAAATTCCCTTCAATTGTCTGATTTGGAAGCAGCATTGTAATTCAATATGAATGCTCACGAATTGCAATACATATTTAATAGTAAATTACAAGCGAGGTGATAAATATGACATTACTCCGAGTGCTCATACAGGGCGATTCAGATAAGATAATGAGCCTGACGATCTGGCGATGCAACCCAAAATACAAATTTCATTTACGCCTTTGATCCAATTTCAATTAGGATTTGCAAGTTGAATCCAAGTTACCATCTTGGTGTCACTCTGATATTAGTGCAGAGAACGATTATTAGTGCCATTCAGTTCTCGCGGAATGATAGAGAAATTAGAGAAGTCTTTTCAGTGTAAACCCAATACAAAATGTATGAAACAATGAAACATTAAAGGTAGGCAAAGAGTTTTTTTTTTAAATCATTGTTGCATGTCAAAGCACTATCAGACCAACATAAGATAACTTGGATTGCAAATGCAAATCGTAATTAAAATTAGATCAAAACGTAAATGAAATCTGAAAACTTTATTCACAATCACATTATTTTTAGTTAAATATTAAAAAAAAATAAAATTCTAACAAAGTTGAGGCACAAATGTGGGAAGTAGGCCATGAAAACAAATTGCGTTCGCGTTTTTTGACGTTTAAGAAAAGTCAAATAAATTAAAATTAAAATTTATTATTTAAATTTATTATTTAAATTTATTATATTAAAATAATGTGTGATGCTATCGAAATTCTTGAAATGGAGCAGTGTACAGGGTGCTGCATTTTGGAAGTCCGAATAGGGAATCTCCGAAACTAAGAGGTTTAGCCAAAAACGAGTAATACATTCTGGGGCACATTTTTTGAGAAAATAATATTGGTTAAAACCGCATCCCTCTATGTCTTTTGTTTTCGACTTACAGACAAAAGTTGACATTTTGGCGAAATCTAAAAAAATTTATATCTTCGTTATTATAGAAGATACGGATTTGAAATAAAGACATTATACAGGCACTTTTTTACTAGGAATTTAATAATGTAGTTAACAATTTTTTCAGTTATTAATTTAGCCGTAATAAGATAAACTTGTATTTTTTTAAATGGAAATCATAGGCGGCTATGGCAATTTAGAAAAGCTTATTTTTTCTGATCTAAAAAATATATATTTGTAACAAAATATTTTTTTATAACTATACTTAAAAAGTGAAATACATATTTTGTGTGATAATAGTTGGCCATGGGAAAACTATTTCACTCCAAATGTGTAAATAATAATCAATAAGAGTTTTGTGAACTGTAAAATAGATGAAAAAATAGATAAAATTATAAAGATTTTAAAAACACGATACGGTAGAAGCATTGAACAAATATCCGAGCGCCTCAGAACAAAATTATTACAATATTTACATAATACAGTCAACACAATTAGAAAAAACATTTTTTTGATGGTCTAATGGAGGTAGGATAACGTTCCACAAGACGGAATTTGGGTATTTGAATAGCCATATCGTCATTTTTGTGTCATATAAAATATATTTTATTGAGGAATTAAAGAGGCTTTTTTACAACACTCAATGTATCACTAGAAGTTACAATGGTAATATTAGCTTGTTTAAAAACAAAGAAATGTTATTAGTCGCCAATAAGTTGATTTACAATTTATTTTGCATCTTTTTCATTACTTAGTACTTAGAAAACTCTTTCATTAGTGACACTGGTTGAATATAATTTAAATCCTTTTAGTTGAAGATGCAACATTTTTTCATGGCCAACTGCGAACAAAAATTAAAGATAATTTTTTGCTAAAAATGTATTATAATAATAATTTGTTACAAATATATATTTTCTAGATAAGAAAAAAACAAGCTTTTTAAAAATGACATAGCCATCTATGATTCCCATATAAAAAATACAAGTTTATTTTATTACGGCTAAACAAACAACTGAAAAAAATTGTTCACTACATTATTAAATTCTACGTAAAAAAGTGCCTGTATAATGTCTTTATTTCAAATCTGTGTCTTCTGTAATAACGAAGATATGAATTTTTTAGATTTCGCTAAAATGTCAATTTTTGTCTATAAGTCGAAAACAAAAGACGATAGCGGAATGCGGTTTTAACCAATATTATTTCCTCAAAAAATGAGCCCCAGAATGTATTACTCGTTTCTGGCTAAAACTCTTAGTTTCGGAGATTCCCTATTCGGACATCCAAAATGCAGCACCCTGTACACCTCCAGAAGTGAAGAAAGCTGCTTCAGAAGCAGTTGAAAATTTATTACCCGAGAAAAGTAAAGGCCGCTACGAAAACAATGTTACCGAAAAAAATTGCAACATTCTTGCTGATAGTGGTAGTGATATTTTACAGGTAAAGAGGTTAGGCGGCTGGAAATCAAGTGCAGTGGCCGAAGGATATGTTGATAATTCAATAATAGGTCAAGAAAAAGTCGCAAATATGTTGTCAGACACAAACACCTGTGGGCCCATCACATCCAACACCTGGGGGCCTAGCACATCCCAGGAATTTAACATAGTATCCAACAAACAAGTGAAAGATACAATTTCACTTGTTGTACATGCCACTGAAAGTGCAAAATGTAGTGATAAACGTAAACAGTGATAAGTGATTACTTACGGAACTGACAGTACCTAACATTATACTTTTTGAATTCATGTCTTTATAAACTAAAATAAAGTTGCTTTTTCCTTTCTATTACTAATTACAACAAAAATTAATAAAGTTTTCACACATGTACTGTTTCTAACCTAACTTTTTTTTTGATCATGTTTGATGATAAAGATCACGTCCTTTCGTTAACGTTGAGGTTACGAACGTCAACGCACCATGTAATTATAGTCGTCACCAACAATATTTGAGACTCATTATAGAATAAGCCGCTTACCCCCCACGGTGGTTCATGGGGCTTGCGGTAGAGATGCCATAAACAAATTTGCATTTCTTAGGACAGGCACGTTTCAAAGGTTTGTAGGAGGAAGAGATGGTCCGTAACAGAAATTTGTTTTTGGGGTTTCATCAAAAAAAAAATTAAATTAATTTTAATATTCAGTTATATTTTGAGATTGTTTCTTTACAAATCTGCATTATAACTTTAATATTAAATTAATATATTAATTCCCAAATGGTTTGCCTGTAATAAATTAAAAGCCCACCACAAAAATTGCAGAATACGGCTCTTTTCTACATCTTCTGGGTAGTACCACACGCAGTGAAAAATTATTACGGTCGACCACAAAGCTGCTTAACCCTCAATAAAGCTTTGCATACGTCAATCCCAAATATTCCTGGTGACGACTATATCATGTTAGAATTTAAATCTTACGATACATTAATCTCACTAAATGTAGGAACTCATTTAGCAAAATTTTTCTAAAAAATAGATTTTTCGAAAATCAGTTCTTTTATAGACGATTTTTTCATAGGATCGATTCTTTAAGTTTCGATACGAATCGATTTTTTTCTAAATGATCGGCAATCCTGTATCCAACTTCTTCTTTAAGAATTACCGCCAACCGCCAACGTGTCGATTGCCCATCTCCCCTCTTTGTAAATCCCGTACAGCCGCCTCTTACAAATATTTCGGACAAACCGATAATAAACGCGTTTAACAATTACAACACTACTACCCTATAAATATTCACTTACCTCTCCAAGAAATCGTCTTTTCCAATATTCTAAAACTGCACACCTCAGTCCGACAATCCAGGGAACAAACACAAAACCATCACAAAATGTACAAAAAACCTTATTTGAACACGAAATATTAAAATTCTTGAACCCGACACAATAAAATACCTAACCTCAAAACCCGGAAGTAGTTTTTCACAGCACTTTTAAAAGTTTACAACACTTTACAGCACCTATTTCTTAAGTTGATTTATTTTAATAATTACTTAAGCTGAATTTCATTTATTATCACATTATTTTTTATTGTAGTTCTTAAACGAACACCGCATTTGTGAACACAGAACACCTTCAAAATAGAACGCCTACTTAATGGTTTTAAAAAGTTTCTTTGTGGCGTCATCATACGTCCGGCCCGTGAACTAGAAAAGACGGCAATTTTGAAAATATGTTTTGTTTCAATTTATTATTTTTTATTAAAATTAAATCAAAAATACAAAATACATGTTTTAGACAAAATTTATTTTTAAAATACAATCACATTTTTTATATTACTTTAATTTACATTAATTATTATTTTCTAGAGGCAAATAATTAAAAAAAAGTGCTTGGTTCCCTGTATGTATTTATTTATACCTTCCACTGGAGTCACTCTTTTTCGTGGACTATAAAACCACATTTTCGATAATTCTACATCTTCTTTTTGTGTTGTGGAAAAAGATAGATCAACGGTGGTATTGGTAACTTCTGGTGAAAGGTCAATTTTCATCTGATCTGAAGAATATTATGGGTTGAGAAAATTAACCTAAGAAAATTAACCTAAGTTTTAAAATCTTACCCACTTTTGGTACCGACACCGACGACGCATGTTTCCGCAACTCTTCACTGTTATATTCTTACGTGTATCTTTCTTTAATAAGCAAAAAGTTAAAAAGTGATGTTATTACTTAATTGAACTTACCTTGACAAATATTAACAGAACGCAATGAGTTGGAGAACAGACTTTTGAACACACTGGAGCTCTTAATTTAGTCTGGCAAAAAGTGGCTCCAAACTCAGTCTTTACCTGCGTTCAGGGGTTGGGTTAGTAAGGGTAATAAATTGTAATAAAAGTAAAAGATCAGTTCGCTAATATTTGTATGCCTTGAATTTCTGGAAGTTGCTCCAGAAATTTCTTAGAAAGCTAAATATTGTTCTGACTTTTGGATCTTAAAAAAAAATCTAATCATAATTATTCTATCTATCTGATAGATTGCACATATTTACTAATTAGAAAGCTTACAGGTTCCATTTTCAATGTAAATTAAATTTTTGTATGGGGTAATAAGACATATAATTCGATAAATTAAAATTTTTACAATCGGAATAATTACAAATTTATGCAATTGTGGACTCAAAATTTTGGACATCAAGTTATGTCAGTTCAAAAAATATCAACGTAAGCCACGCTTTAGTGTCATTATGATTGACGCTTGGATCTAAAACTTGAAAGTTTTAGTTGAAATTTATTTTTGGCGTCGATTGCAGTACGTTTTTTATATAATTATTTTTTTATTATTATTTTGAATTATTGTCATTTTTATTTAGCTGTCAGCATAAAAACTACAAAAATAAAAAAAATCTGGTCTTAAAGTCAGTTTTACATTTAATGTCAACTGAATGACAAATAGCACTATAAAGTTTATTTTCTTTGGAGGGGCATTTATGATTTTTTTATCTAGGTTTTTTTAGTTTAAAAGTGTAGGTACTTGTTTTCCATTGCAATTTTTTGTCATTGACCACATTTATGGGTACCACCAATCGTAGAAAAATGCAAAGTTTTCATTTATAGTTTGTCTTACAAAAAAAAATTGTGATAGGCCGAATCATTTTTTATGAAGAACAATGATAAATTAAAAAACAAAAACGATCTCTTCAATGATTTTTTTTCATAATTGCCCCGCTAAAAAACTATTTGTTTTAGACTTCTGGCGAGCATTTGTTTAAAAGTAATAATTTTTTTGTACACGCTCTCAAAACAATCTGAGTCTTTGCTGGACCCAGTAAAATAGTATGAAGAATGGTTATACACTCACGGGCATAAAATTCGATCCATACTTTATTTTTATTTTTTCTCTTTCGATTTTTTTTCTTTCGATCAGAGAACTTTTAAACGGAAATAAGATATATTTCCAACTATTGTTAAGACCAACAAACACAAAAATGAGCACGCGATATAATTTTGAGGATTTTTTTTAACTTTTTTTCCAATCTTCTTTTATCGTGATACCTATTTTAATGCCCTTTGTCATTATTCTTGACATTTTTTGAAGGGCATAGAAGTACTTTAGCCTTCTAATAGTATATACGGTGTTAAATCCAACGGACGCGGCTAGGGCTCTAGTTTAAGATGGTAGATCGCAATATTACGCAGCTCGAGTTCTTGGAGTTTCGAGGTGTAAGGTGCAGAGAGCTCTAGAACGGTTTTGCGAAACTGGAGGCTACACTAGGAGAGTTGGATCAGGAAGAAAGCGATGTATCACAGCTCGAGATGATCATTTTCTCGCACTGCAAGTATTGAGAAATAAGGACACAACAGCTTTTCGTGGTCGTAACTTGTTAGAAGATGTAAGACGTGTGACAATAAGCGAAAGAACATTAAGAAGAAAACTCACTCAAGGAAAAAGGATTAGTTGCAAGGAGACCAGCAAATGGCCCCAAATTGACCAGAAAGCATCGAGTGGAGCGACTACGTTTTGCTCTTGAACATGAGCATTGAGGTGTTGCTGATTGGAGACGAGTTCTTTGTTCTAATGAGTCGAGGTTTTGTCTTCATTCTCCAGATGGACGACAAAGAGTTTGGCGACGATCGGAAAAAAGATTTGCACAGTGCAAGGCTGAGTTTTGGAGGTGGCTCTATTATGGTCTGGGGTGGCATTAGTTTGGAAGCTCGTACCGAATTAGTCATTGTAGACAGAAGAACAATGACTGCTGATAGGTACATCAGTGACATTCTGGAATCCTATGTTGTGCCTATGCCTATGTGCCTATGTTGTGGTGAAAATTTCATTTTTATGCACGATAATCCACGTGCTCACACTGCTCGCATCCTGAACACGTACCTAGATGAGGTTGMAATCGAACGTATGAGATGGCCAGCGCGAAGTCTTGACCTAAATCCCATTGAACACATTTGGAACATGGTGGGAAGAAAGGTTCGACGCAGAGTTCCTGCTCCTGTAAATTTTAGAGAGCTAAGTGTGGCAAATTTTGGAAGAAATTGACTAAAGAGCGATTGAAAATCTTATTGAAGGAATGCCAAGAAGAATGGCAGCTGTAATCCGTGCAAGGAGAGACAACACACAATATTAAACTTCAGGTTAAGTCTTAACTCTTTATTAGGTATTAATTCAGGATTTAATGTTTTCGTAAAATTTTGCATTTTTTTTTGTTATTGAAAAAATAAAAAAATTGTTATTTAATTTAAGCTGGTTTTTGTTTATACTTGTTTTAAAATGTGTAATTTAAAGTTCTCAAAAAATTGTTGCCTTATAGAACAAGAATTAGTTGAGAAAAATTAAATAAAAATGATGGATCGAATTTTGTGCCGATGAGTGTATTAGGTATGTACTCAGTACCCAAAATACAGTTTTTCAGAACGGATAATATAAGTCAATTTAGTTACTATGGTGGCGAAATTTGTTTAATTAATAATAGGTGTAATTCGTTGTATAATAAATTATTTTGTCTGATTATTGTTGCTATTTATTAAAACTCTCATAGATAATAAATAATCTTTTTTCGAAAAAAAAATGATCAGGTCTACTAAACACGGGAGATTCGATAGAAGTACAATTCCAACAAAATTAGCTTGTTTTTTCATTTCACGTCAAATGTTTCTGCTTCTAGTTTTCTAATAATTATAACTGAAAATTATTATGCTAATTACATGATAAAGATGACCATAATCCGTTCTTTGCTTGGGTTGGTACATACAAGGGCAGGTAAAGACCCTCGATCCTCTAGAGAAGCGGCGCTGGGAACGCCACTAGTGATAAAAGCAATGAACTAGGAGGCATTTTTGGGCAAAATGTATTTATTATTAATTTAAAAACAACACTGTTTTATTACATGGTGTTTGTTGAATGTGTTAAGAATTAATATTTTGTAATAAATACCAAAACCCTAAAACGAATCTTTAGGTCTACCGTTAAATATCGTGACTTTTACATCAATCACAATATCTCAAAAACTAAACACTTTTTAAAAAAAAAGCCAACGTATCGGCCTATAGAATATTCTTTTAAATTATCTTACACAAAAACCAAAATTGATTACTTAAAAAATGACTGAGTAAAGTTGTTTTCAAGTTCACCATTTATGCATTTTTGTTCTTTTTTTAAAAGAATTGATTTTTTTTTAAATCTCAGCGTATCGGCCTGTAGGTTTAAAAAATGTTTATTTTGATGTATAATACATGAAATTCTGTTGCATATTAAGAGAGTAATCTTGTTTTCAATATACTAACGTCTCGAATCGTTGGTCGCAGACACCCTTAAGGGTTGTTTACTATTTACCAACAGTAAAGGATTTCATGTTCGAAATTTACGATATCTGATACGATACGATAATAACCGCCCCAAATTTAATTTGTAATTAATTTCACATTTGACAATAATGCAAAGTAAATAACAATGTAATTCGTATTACGTTATTTCTGAATTAAAACACTGCGGACACGGCTTAACTCGATTTCTGTGAAAAATTTCACCAAAATGACATAAAATTCTTTACTGTTGATAAATAGTAAACAACCCTTAACTTCTACATTAATTAATAAAATTAGTAAATAAAACAATAAATTAATTATTTTGTGAAATGGTGACTTTGGACATCAAAATCTTACATCAGATCAATTTTTAATTTTAAAGAAACGTTTCAAATATTATTTTATTCCTTTCAAAACAAGTCAAATGCGATAAGTGATTACACATAGTCAAAATTCTTAATAATTTGAGCAAACGATTTACCAATTTTCGTCAACTTTCCATCGACCCATCCCAATGCCGGAAAACCGACAACTGCCGACCATCGGTTCCATCCCATCTGAAAACGGCCGAACGTGCCAGCTCGAGAACCGAGTTTGTGACATTACTTCTGAAGCAGTCTGTACCTCCTCGTGGTCGTAGCGTGGGCAACTGTTTGCTGGCAGACAAGGTAAGCTCTTGCAGAAAAGGTTTTATTTTGTTTTACGCCTGGAGCAGACAGGCAAAACATGCCAACACTGACTAATTTTATAGTTAATAATATGTTAATTGTAGATGAATTTATGTCTTTTAAAATTCGCGCCTTGCGTGATGAGGGCGCGTGTGTCGTTGGTCATGTAGGAGTAAGAAGATGGCGAATAAATAAAACCTAAGCATGGCATGCTTGTCTGTTATTTAATTTGTGATTTAATTTAAACCGACCCATCCTCGACTACAACTAATAATTTAATTTTCAAAAAAATTTGATTTGTTTATTATTTTGTTATTGATAGTTTACAATAAAAAGTTTAACAAAAAATTTGTTTTATTACTTTGAAACAATTTAATAATGGCAAGTTTCATTTCAAATTTTGTTTAAAATGAATTTTTTTTTATTTTCATTTTAAACAAAATTTGAAATCAAACTTTCTAGATAATAATAATGTCACGGGCCTAAGCTCGTGCAAGGGGTTAAGACAAAGACCAGGGTAGAAAAATAGAATTTATTGCTTACAAACTAAGTACATAACTTAAGGGAG